TTCATTTACAAAAGAATCACATTTATTCATACTTTCGCAAGCGCAAAAATATGTATACTCTATACATATGCACATATAACTTATGTATACATATGCAAAAAATGTTTATAAATTTTAGAGTAAAATTAATTTCTCGTGTGATTGTTCGTCAGATATAAGTTCTGAATTCAAAAATTATATCTTTTTGCCAAAAAATGTGAAAACATGGGTAAAAACAAAACTACCGTTTTTTATTCAATTATTTAATAAAATAAGTATTTTTATGTTTTTTCCTAATGAAGAGTCCCGACTAGCAAATTAATTCTGTGAAATAAAGTTATTCATTAGAAGCATTTTCCTATTGGCAAAATGTATTGATTTACTTCTACATTGTTTCTATAACTACAATTACAGCGATCAGTTCATTAATTTATAGCAATAATTTAATTTAGGGACATATCAATTACTGTGCACGATAAAATACTATATTTTATGATCTATTTATTAATAAAATAATATATTATTAGGTATCATGCTCTATTGGACTGTATGGAGCAAGGCTATATAAAGTTCAATACTTATAAAATATAAAAAAATAATTAAATGCTTTGAAAATGAGATTTTTCATAAGTGCAAAAAATCGAAATTTACATAGAAAATTGTTAAAATGTTTTCCAATGATAAAGAAAATAAAGTGTGGCTTTAAATGTCCTTAGAATCCATGCAGTATCTAAGGGCGAAATATATGATTTGAATTAATTTGATAAAATTGTATGTTTATATATATATATATATATATATATATATATATATATATATATATATATATTTAATTTGAGTTTAATATATCAACATCAAATTCAAGACTATTCAAAAATATATATATATATATATATATATATATATATATTATAGAGTCTAATAATTGGGCATAACATAAAAACAATTGTTTTTGAAAATTTGTTTCTTACTAGTAAGAACTGTAGGAAAAAGACTGGCTTTAAAAATACAAAATCTCTTGACCATTGTCAGAGATTTTGAAATATGATATATTATAATGATATGAATTTCTTTTCCAATCTTGCCCTGGCAGTTCTGTAGCGTAGTTTTTTGGCAAGTGGTTTTGGATGATCATCGAGTCGGCTTTTGTAATTGTCTGAACGTGACTGTAATGGATTCTGTAAATAAATTCGACAACATCAAATTCTTAATAATAATTATTATAGCTTATCAATTAACATAATTGTCGATTAGGTTAAACCAGTAATCTTAAAACTAACTCAGTATCCTAAGACCTGATACCATCATTTCCGCTGGTGGCCAAAAACAAGTAGATCACATTTGCTCTTAATACGTGAAGTATTATAGTAAACACCCATTAACATTCGTTTATATGCAGATACGATTGCACAAAATTAATGAAATATTCGTATACTTCTACTCTATTAATCAGTATTCTGGATATAGTCCAAGTCATTCACCTATATTTCTGAATTGGCCTGTGGTTCCTGTCAACTAAATTCACCGCCTCCGTATCAAATTATTATCTGTGATGGTCGAAATTCGTCACTTTTTACGCTTCAGCGGAATGATTTTTAATATCTTGACAGTATAAATAGGAGCGTCTGATATCAGAATTTGGAATTCACACAAATTTTACGACGAGTACCTAAATCCGATGCGAATCATATCTAAATCCGTAATGTATTTCTGTTTACAACTGAAATTAATTGACGTCACTAACAACTTTATTACTGAAAGTTTTTATTTTGCTTGCTCAGGATATTTCGATATAGGAAATTAAATAGTTATTTTTATATATTATTTACATTTTCCAATCTATTTTTTCCTTTGTTTTGATTTTCAATGTCAGAGATTTGAAAACGGAAGGTAAATATATATTTGAAATTTTGTATAAATTGATAAAAAGTTATTATTAAAAGGCTATTACTATAGAAAAGCAAATTGTTTTATAATGTATTCAATATTCATTCAATTTATATTATTTATCTTTATCAAATGTGAACTTATTTGGCCTCCTGTTTACAAATTAGACATTTACTTGATTTACAAAAAAATAAAATTCTAATTTTACATTCATCTAAAAAAAAATAATATAATATTTTATAATAATCAGTATTTGAAAGCGAATGGTAATTTTAAATGTTTATGATTGTCATTTTTGCAACAATTGTAAAATATCCTTACTCAATAGACATCAAAACTACATTGTCGTACTTAAGTATAGAAGAATCTTTATAAAAATTTTTCATTACAAATGTTTTTGTAAAATATCCTTTCGAAAAGGATTCAACCAAACTACATTGACTTGGTTACAAATGGATCAAAGGTTTAAAATCAAAGTTTAGTTGTTAGTAGAGATTTATATATTTTTGAAGATAAATCGAGTTGTCATTTCTAAATTCGAATAATATATAGATTTTATAAAAATCTAGACATGTATTTTAAATAAAACGACATTTGTAAATATTTTATTTTTGTCTCAACTTTTTGAGGATATGCTGTCAAATTATGAAATTCTTTAAATTTTGGTGTAAGCATTTTTAATGTCTATACTATTTACTGTACGTAGTATTCTATTATTTTCCAATCTATTCCATGATTTTCCAACCTATTAATTTTGATACATAATATATTTTATTTATTCGTTCAATAGCAATTAACTTAACGAGACCTTTAAGGGTGCGTCTATGGAGGATGTTGGATCCTCCCTCTCCCTTGATGGTGATACGTTTGATATTTAAAATTACTTCTCCTCCTCCATATAGCATCACGTGTATTTTAGTATAAGAGATCGTTCAATTATCACGTAAGCAGATTTATTACAATTATTTACCCCCCCATCCCCCCTTGTGAGCAAAAGTAAGCAAAGCTCTTACCCCCTACCCCCATGCTTACGTAAACATTTTGCAATTAATGTAAGAAAATAAAAATACTACATATGACGTAATCATCATCCAGACTCCCCCGCCCCCATGTCAACCCAAAGTAAGCAAATCAACAACCCCCGCCCCCTATAGTGCTTACGTAATACTTGAACGGCCCCTAACGTGTATTTAGTAAAAATGGTGTTTTTTTAATCCAGGTAAAAAATGAGTACACGTGATATCTTACTAGACCCTCCTCTTCCTTGTGATATCTTGTGATTTTTTGTCAAACTTCCCGTCTCACTACTGCTTGACATCAAGCAGGCCGTTCGAGGCGGTTACCGAATCTGGAATCTCTGATTTGAAGTTCATAGCTCTAAAGGGGCGTCCATTGATCAAAGATTGCGTAAGGGAAGTGGAGTGCTAGTAATGGGGCTAGTAAGAAATCACGTGTATTTAATTTTCCTGATTTTTTTTATTTTTTAAAATGTAAAAATTTTATTCTTTAAATTTTAAAGAAAATTCTAACATTTCTCAAAAAAATCACAAAACATCACGTGGGGAGGGAGGGGTATAGTAAGATATCACGAGTATTTATTTTTTAACTGATTTTTTTAAAAAAATTCAAACATTTTCAAAAAAAAAATCAAAAATTTTACAGTTTTATCACGTAACTAAAAATACACGTGATGTTTGGTGAAAAAAGGAGGGTAATTTTGAATATCATCATATGTATGTATATATATGTATCACCAAGGGGGAGGGGGTGGGGCCAAAAATCCTTAAAAACTGGCTCACGTGATTAATGGACACTCCCTTACCATACAGCCAACCACGCCGTAAATCCCTTATAAATATTGGAAATATCAATTACCATAACAAAAATTTAGCTTCTTTATATATTATAAAAATGCTTGTATGCATTATTATTTTTATCTTTATCACAATACAAATATAAACAATGATAAAGTTTTGGTTTTCCATCGAAATGCATCGTCGATCATACGCATCCCTCCTTCGTTCTGCGTCGATGTGAAGAATTCCAACTGCTGCGGAACATTCTTGTTCAGTATCCGCATGTGTTAACATCGCATATAATTTTTCTTTGGAATAATTTCTTAAAATTTGTGCTGTGTTTCAATTGTTCATATTTGTTAAATATTTGTTACTCTACTGCTACTACTACATCCGGATTAAATGGTAACATGTGACTCATTTGATCAATATGTTATACTAATTTTACATCCGTTTAATTTTACTAACAAAATTTTGTTTAGAACTCATGACATCCTTTCTGGCTGGTATTCAAATTTTAGCTAATAATTTGATATTAATAACGAAAAGTGCGGTTGGTAATAAATTATTCTATTTTTGGTTTGTTTACTATTAAGGTTTGTCGACATCTTGTCTGGAGTTGCTTTTGGTAGAAGTTTGATAATATTGACGAATAAATACAAGATTAAAAAAATTTTAAGATTTTTTTATTCCATCATATAATTTAAAATAGCTGCCAGAATTCTTATTTCACTTCACCTATATATAATAATTTGCACTTGTCCTAGTAGATATTTAGCAAATATAAAGAAAATTTAAAAAATAAATTGCAATAAGTAGAAGTTATACCAGAGTTACTTCTACTTTGAATAAAAAAATTAATTGAGTAAAACTTTCCGATGTAAAAATTATTGTTTACTATTTTTTTTTTATAAAAATTATTTAAAATTAACTCTCTTTAACGTAGCAAGTTTCTATAAGTATTTTTAGCTATAATGTTAACAGCCAATAGGTTTTCGGCTACTTGATTAGGATGGGTATATATTTATCATATAATGTTTTTTATATTTAACTCATGATCTAAATGATTTTCTTAAATAAATTATAAAGTTATAGTAATCGCAAAAAAATCGAAAATGAAAATTTTTATATATCTTTACGTTTCGAAGGTTTCTGAACATTTTGGCATACCTTAGAAAAAATGGTTGGATGTGTGTGTGTGTGTGCGTGTGTGTGTGCGGATACAAATTTTCGTCTATCAACGATCAACCGATTTGAATAATTCAAAAAACATTTGATTCGTATTGATAAGGAGACGTGCTGATCTGTTTTTGGCGGAGGCAGGTCTAGCCGTTCCGAAGATACAGGGCAAAAAGTGCCAAAAATGGTAACTCAGTTTTTTAAGAGAACGGAGCGTCCGATTTTAACAATTCAAAAAACATTTTACTTGTATTGACAAGATGAACAACTGATTAAATTTTCACGAAGGCAGATTTCAAAAAGTTTTTTTTTCCAAAAAAAAAATATTTTTTTTTCAAAAATTTATAGTTTCTTAAAAATCCAGTTTTGTCAAAGTAAGTTTTTTTCAAAAATGTTAATCTTTTTAAAAAAATATATTTTGGTACGGGAAGTTCCAGCAATTTGCCTTAAGGCACGATGCCATGCGCTCCACTAGTTTTTTTTTTTAATAATTTTATAGCAACATCTTCTGGGCTAATAGATTGGAATGGAAATGTTTGATAAATAATTTTTTAAACTTGGCCTACTTTTTAAACGATTTTCCCAATTAAATCTAATCTTCTCAATTTTTAAACATTTTAACTTTTAATGATTTTAAAATAATAAATTTATTTTTCTTAATTTTTAATAATAATCATTTGATATATTTGTGGGTGTTAATTATTAGGAAAACGAAAAATAAATTATTTGTTTCTTTTGTTTTCTTATATTTATTTATAATTCACTAAATTTATACTTATTACTATACTTAGTAATCATATTATTTTAAAATAGTATATTTAAACAGTATGACTACATATAAGAAAAACGCCAACAGCAAAAAATTGTATACTATTATCTAGATTATCGAAATAAAAAGTGGATAAAGTACGGAAATAGATAATTTTAGTGATACAAAATATTTTAAAACAATCATTTACATATCCATTTTACAAGTTATGATATCACATACTAATCCAGGCACGATTTTTCATTGTACTATTAGCAACATGCCGTATCTACCAAAATGATTAATTCTAATTGTAAGATAACATATCATATTATGTACGATATGATTTAAATGTAAGAACCACAACGGCGATGTAAATTATTTTATTCTAATAGTTGCAAGATGAAGTAAATTAATCATTATTAAAATAAAAAATAATCATTTTATTCTACAATAGCCAGCGATTTTTGTCCCTGATTTATTGGAATAAATGCAATTAAAATTGACCTCGACTAAAATTATTGTTTAGAAATTTTGACCTAGAAAGTATATTTTGGGCGTTGTAACTTATTTTAATGTGTTTTTTGTGATAGCTAAATTTTATGCAGTTTTTAATGGATTGTGAAATTTGATGATAGATACTAAATACTCTATAAAATAAAAATATTTTAAAGTAAGATTTAAATATTTAAATTTTTACTGTATAAAATATAATGTGATGGAATATAATGTTAGGTGATAAACTAACTAATATTAATTTTATTACTTTGGAATAAAACATGCTCGGAGCCGAGAGCTAACAGTTAACTCTATATAAGAAAATATTATTCTCTTGATTTCTAAATATAGTTATAAATGTATACAAAAAATGTTAAGGAATTTTTAATATTTTTATTTACATTTTACTTTTTACGTCTTAACAAGATCTATCCACCTGCATATCTAAATATTTTATATAGTCTTGGAATGTTTGTTTTCATTCAAGTGTTACAATTTGTTTAATAGGAGTAAATGTGATAGGTGTTTATATAAGACAATAATTTTTATATTTTTATTTTTATTTATTTATTTATTTTTATTTAATTTCCAGGACGTTATAAGTCGAATGCAATTGCCGCCTTTCCAGGGGCGGCGTCAAAGCACACCAGGAGTTTTCTTCGGTCAATTATCTTCTCTTCGAGTACCAGCATCTTTGACATCTTCGCCCATGCAACGCGCGGACTCCTTGACCACCGAACTACCTCCAGACACCGCCCCTCTGGACAACCAGGTGGCTGGACATAGCTTCGAACCGGGGACAGATGCCCTGGGTAAGAGATAAATTTTAGAAACTGTCCATTAAAGTGGCTGGTTAAATAATATTTATAATATTTTTATTATCAGGGATGCTTAAACATTCCGATGGCACAATCCTGAAACCTTGCACAAAACCGCTGTGTGGAATCCGCGAATCACGTTTCTATGAGTCTCTCAAAGAAAGCACCAGTAGAAGCAAAGCTCTTCTTGCTTCGCTGGTTCCTGAGTATCATGGTACAAGAAGATTACGAGTTGGCCCAAGAGACATCAATTTTATAGTATTAGCCGATGTTACCCAAGGCATGCGAGAACCTTGCATTATGGATGTTAAGATTGGTAAAAGAACCTGGGATCCACTTGCTACTCCTGAAAAGATTAAAGCCGAGGAGGTAGGTCTTAATAATTATTTTTATGATTTTTAATATTGTTTTATTATTTTTAATTCTTGCTAATTGATTAGCAGCACAATATGTATCGAGTGTTTATTGAAAATAACAATTTCAATAGTTTTTTAGGGTTGTTTTTTACTAACTTGCTATTAATGAATGAGATTATTCTGCTATATCACGTGAGTGAATTTTTAAGGATTTTTGGTCCTCCCTCCCCCTTGGTGATATTCAAAATAACCCTCCTCCCCATCCAAACATCACATATATTTTAAGTTAAGCGATAAAACTGTGATTTTTTTTTATAAAAAATGAAAATGTTTGATTTTTTTTAAAAAATCAGTTAAAAATTAATACACACGATATCTTACTATACCCCTCCCTCCCCCATGTGATATTTCGTAACTTTTTGTCAAACCTCCCCACAATCCCCCTAAAAACTTCACGTGATTAATGGACGCCCCCTTATGCATTACAATAACTAATTCTTGTGAAAATCATTAGAAAATGTTCTCTATTTTTTAAAGTATTGTTTATTTTTATAATGTTTTATTAAATAAATTATTTATTACTCAATTTTTTGCCTATAAAATTCAATTATGAATTTTATTTAAGACTATTTGCCTAAATGATATTTTTATTAATTAAGCTTCTGACATTTTTAAACAGTTTTTATTATATTAAATGTTTTTTTGTTTTTAATTCACAAAACTTCTTTATAATTATTTACTTTCTGGAGATATACTTTTATTTTTATTATTTTTATTATTTGATGATAATCAAAATAACTACTATTAGATTATTATTATTCTTATTTTTTTTAATTATCTCTCTTATCCATGTTAATAATAATATTATTATTTCTATCATTATTATTATTATTATCACTATTGTTTTTAATTATTATGTGTTTTGATTTTACATTTTTAATTTCTGCATTGAAAATTATCCTCTATTTTTTATTGTATTTTATCAAAAATATATATTATTACTAGATGCTTTAGTAACAGTTGCAAAACACTTATAACTTTACAATTTTTATCTTTTGCAATTTAAATATTTTTATATGCAAAATAATATTGTATTTCGTATGAATTTTATTACATCATAATCATCAATCATGTTCTATTTATTTTATTTAAATCGTTTAGCCTCTATTATTTTTATTTCTGGTAGCACGTGGATCAATCAATACACATGTATTGTTTTCAATTACGTTAACTGCGTTCATTATTCGAATAGCAACAAGCGAGTTGATAATTTTAGAGTTTTATTTGCAGAAATCATTATCAGTTTGCAAATAAAAAGAGTTTATTTGAATATCATTTTAGCAGTATCGATTTAATTTCTGTTCTGTGTAAAACAATACACGACATTTATAAAAATGTGCTAAATTGTTTTAATTAGTTTGGTTTGACAAAAAAATATTGTCGTTGAATTTGCTCAATGTTTCGTTTGAAAGCGTATTGAATCAATTAGCACGTGCTAAAAAGATTCATGCTACGGGTTCAGGAAATTATATATGTTCTAGTTTTTAAATACTAATTCCTTTTTACTTATTTTCAGTCTAAATACACTGCCTGCAAAAATACCCTTAGTTTTTGCATTCCTGGATTCCAAGTTCATTCTATTAAAACCGGACGGGTACGAAGATTTGGTAAAGACTATGGTAAAAAGTTGAGCCCAGAATCTGTTAAGGAAGGTAATAAATTGATGGTAGGGAAATGTAAATAGAAATTCATTCTTTGAAATCCGATGTTGAATATTGAAATTACAAAAATCAAATTTGCTTCTGAAGAAGAAAATATCACATAAATTTGTATTATGAATCCATGCATCTGTGACAATAAGTAATATGCTTTTATGAAAATACTGTTACTCATATGTTCAAAATAACAAAATCTTTTCTTATAACTTTTATATTTGATTGATTTCAGCATTACGTACATTTTTAAATGCACCAGACGATACTCAACTATGCCGTGCTCTTCTGGTTCAATTGCTGGCTGGACTGTGGCGAGTTTTACGATGGGCGCGATCTCAGACTGACCTTCGTCTTTATAGCAGCAGCCTGCTGTTGGCTTACGATGCAAAACGCCTTCGTGAAGAGTTGGAAGCGCGCCCACCAGTACCAAAACCAGTAAACAGGTCGGTCAAATGTAAAAATATTAAAATTTATTTTAAATGAATACTCATAAATTGGAATATTTTTACAATATACTATATTGTTAATGAATATCAACCCGAAGTTCATTTTTACCTGCAGGGTGCGTCTAGGACGTTCTGGTAGTTTGCGCCTGCATACGAAACCTTTAGATACATTATCGATGAACGGCTCATCGTGCGCTCTTAGCGGTCAATTAAGTCCCACAGGAGCCCCCCTATTTAGACCAGGTAGAAGACCTTCATCTCCGGAAATCTTATTTAGTGCAGCATCAAATCCAGCCACAGCAATAGCCGGTTCTCCTACAAAATACCGTGGTCTTCAACGAACACATTCGTTCAGACATAACTATGACAACGACATGAAAAATATAAGACGAAATTACGAAAGCATGCTTGATGATTTGATAGCAACTGAAGATGCACCAGCGTCGGGAACGCCTGGTGATAATTGGGCAGTTGTGAAAATGATAGATTTTGCTCACGTGTTTCCGGCAACTAATGAATTCGGGCCGGATAAAAACTATTTGGCCGGAGTTGAAAATCTTGTAAAATTGTTCGAAGCACTGCTTGTAGAAACAGAATGGACTGAATGAACAGGGAAACTATTTGTTCACGTATGTATGATGATGTGTTACATAATTGATAGTCATTTATATATTAATACGCAATATATTGCGTATAGGTTTATTACTAATGATATTTATGAACACGTATATGTATCTTAAGTGCTGCATATAAGTACATGCAGCGCTTAAAATACCAATTTCATCATGCAATACATTCGAATGATTTAGAAAGTTCATTTTATCAAACTCTAAATGCACCTCTTATTGGAGCCGATACCATAAAAAATGGTTTGGTAATTATGAATGTTTTCTGAAATTCGATATCTAACAATACAAATTATATTCACTCCTAAACATAAACAAGGAAATAGTTTCTAAAACTATTCCTATTTGCATGTATATAAATGTTGTATAATCTTTATATTTAAATTAAGTCTTAATTGAGACACATATACCATGTTCATTAAGCTGCATTTTTTATTGCAATTCTGGCATTTTCACTTAATTGCTGATAGTCATTATAAGTGATATTATTATTATTACGAAAAAGTTATGACTTTTTCTAAAAGCAGGTGTAGTACGTACATAATGTAATTGATATTGCCATTGAAAATTCAGAATTTTTATCTTTTATAAACTGTTTATATACGGATACATAAAAAGTAGAATTGTGCAGAATTAGTATGTTTATGAATTAAAATATTTTCATTTTGATACATTTGTAATTTATGATAACTGACCTAATTTAATATGGAATTAATATTAAGATTTGCAAATTACAATTATAAAAAAAAATATACAGGGAATATCTGTTAACGTGAAGAGAAATTCTTACTTAATTATTAATTATATTCTAAAATCTAATCTCATATAAAACTTGTTATTGTCATCACACACTGCTTTTTGAAGAAACCTCCATATATATATTTAAACTATATTTAACATGATTTTTAATAATAAGTCAAAACAGTATTTATTTAAAATATTTTATTAGCAAAATTAGTATTTTGTGGCTAATACAATAAAATTTCAAATTAATTTTGCTTCATATCATTGATAGTCACATGATCAAAGTCATTTCATCAATCTGGCGTTATTTATATTTGATATATTCACTAATAGTTTTTATATTTATTATTATTTAGATAATATAACAGTTCCTTAATAATAATGCTATGTTTTATAAATTATATTAGCTAGTAAACATTTTCTTTATAGGCATTATGTAATTTTAAAAAAATATACAGTTTTTATCTATGACTTGTTTTGGTATAATATAATTAGTTTATGGTGATTTAGTGCACACATAAATGTTTAGAATTATGCCTCACAACACGGTCTTTGTATCTGCAACAAAGGATAAACAATAACACCTCTCTGTTTGAAAAACATAAATTCTTTCTGAACAAAACATAAGATTTATATGGAATTCTTAAAAATTTAAACAATATCAACAACTATAATACTAAAGCTTTAAATTTTTTTAATAACTAAATAAGAATTATAAATCACAAAACAATAATGAACTCATGTTAATTTCTTACATAACTGAATATTTTATTTATTAATTCATATTTAATTCTTAATAATTCATAACTAATTTATTTATTATAAATCTATGCAAACTTCTGTTAAAACCATTTTATAATTTCTATATGAAAACAAACTGATAGTTTTATTTTGAAAATTTAGTTAATACATTTTTCATCATTAGTTTTGGTTGTTTGTGCGAACTAGATATATAATTTATTTTTCTATGGCCCAGTTGTTATCACAAAGAAAAAACATCAAAATATAACATATAATTAATGATACGTTATATTTTAGGAAGCTTAGGTGCAGTTACAACTGGATTATCTTGCTCAATTTGTTTGCGACCTTCTTCTTTATAGTCATAGGTACAACTATGCGTCTCTGCATAGCGGTGTTGTGCACAAAATGTCCCACCGCATCTGCATACCATGGCTGTTGTTATTGTGAGCCGTTTACCACAAACCTACAAGGTAAAACAAATTACTATTTTCTATAATATATATATATATATATATATATATATATATATATATATCTATAATCTTGAACAACAATTTAATTATTACAGTTAAAATAACAATTGGTAAACCGTATTTTAAACTATTTGCATACCTTGCATCTCATTCGTTTTTTCTTTGCAACAGGTTCTCCTGCTGGCGTCTCTGCAGAATCTTCAGGTTGTGATTTCTCTGAGGTTCTCTCTTTGCTTTTTGATGGATTTACAGAATGATTTGAAGAGTTAGATTCAGTATTTTTTAAGGTTGGCGCTTGAAAAATTACAAGTGTACTATTTTGTGTTCTTTTTAAAGAACCGCCGGGAGTCCAAGACAATTTTGGTAAAGATTTAGACTGTGGTGTAGAATGAATTATTGGCAGGGGAGTAGGTACCATAGTTTTATTTTTGGTATGTTTTAAACAACACTGTTTTTGATGTGCGATTTCTTCTCTAAATATTGAAGTATTTGGCATTTTTATAATTTTATGTTCATCTTTATTCAGCAAAGGCTGAGCCTCACAAGATAGGCAATTTAGACCTTCAAAACTTCTAACTCGATCAGTATGCACATTTCTTCTACTAAATCTGCTTTGAGAATTTAATGGCGAGTGCATGTGAGAATGTTCATTAATCTTTGACAAACACTCACTAGATCTATTAAGTCCCCTGTTCTTAGACATATTCACTTTTCGTTTTGGTATGCGAACTCTATCCAAGTTTTCATAACTACCAGTATAGTCTAAATATTCAGTATTGCTATGTCGCGTCAACTGTGGTGTTTCAAATTTCTTGGAGTTCAACTTTTCTAAATTTGATGTACTACAAGAATGTTGAAAATCATCATTAAAATAAACATCCTTTGTTTTATCAAGGTTAGATGTGGATGAACATTGTGTGTTATGAATGTTATTGTTTAATTGATGCAGTGCTGGATTGCTTTGGAAATAAGTTCTATTTGATCTCTGAAGTGGCGGGGGCTCATACCTTGCATGTGAAGATGCCTGGATATTTGATCTTAATTCACAGCTTGAATTAGAATTTTGTTGAATATATTGCGAAATGCTTTTAAGATTAGGGTATCCTTTGTGATTCCCTATTTCCAAACATTCTATGGAGTCTGATAAGTTGATTTTAGTTGACACAGGAGCTTCCATGTGCAACTTAGGGCTTTCCAATTGCATACTAAAAGTGTCTAAAGTATCATCCCTCGCTGACAGGTCTTCAGGAGTTACTTGAGGTCTAGGAGAATCTCCTGGAGGATACAATAAACAGGACAGGCGATAACGACTGCTATCTGCAACAAAATACATATATTCAGATGTATGTTTATCATTTTATTTTCAAATTTAAATTTAAACTAACACTCTTTCAATAATATTAAATAATAATACACTAAATTTCATATTGAAAAAATAATATTATTTTTAAAGCGAGAAAAAGGTATTTGTAAAATATATTATTTGCACACATTTATTTTTTGATGAAAGGAAAAAAAACAATTGCACTTAATATCATAATCATTTCTGATGACACATAAATTAAATAAAATATATCACACAAAGTGCTGTAATCTCGATATATAACTTTATTTTTTTTAGGATTAATTAATATAGATCAGATATTAATGATAACATTTGAAATTGTATTTATTCATTAATGTTTGAAAGTCAATAACAAATTAATAAATTTTATTATTAATGATTATTACCTCCTGTTGATGTTGAAGGCACAGGGCATGGAGTTGGAAGTAGTTTCAAAGGCTCTTCATGATCATCTGACAATGTTAATTCTAAACTAAGTTCGCCCTCATTTTGGTAGCAAACAGGACCAGCACCTGTAACAAGACCCTCCGGTGTTGGTACTCTTTCAGCTTTATGTCTTCGACTGATCTAAAAACATTATTGACATACATAGATTATTACATAATCAAACTTTTTAAAAACACGATTTTTAATTTTAGATAGAGCATTGAAAAAAGAATATTCACCTGAGTTACACGACTTTCATCAGAGGAATCAGAATCTTCACGAAGTCTTCTTGCTGAAGGCATATCTGAGGACTTGTTTGAACTAACACCTATAATGTAAGTAGCTTGTGCTACACTATTCCGAACTCTTCTGATAGGCTTACTTCCACCTTTAGAAACAAGGCCTAGGAGTTCCAATTCCTCACTAATAATTTCAGTACTTGTTTTGGAACCATATGGTAACTTATGTCGCTTTAATTTAACAGTTGTGGATGATTTTTCAACAGTACTATTTTTGTTTCTTTTTAATTGCAATGCTTCCATTTTCTTACGCAAATCTCTCATCTTAGTGAAAGTGCAAATATTTTCTTGCATTTTATCCAAACCCCAATCATTGTCATAGGCACCCTCTGGTGAATCATCACTTGGATTTGAAGAGTCCGTGTCATATGACCTAGCAATACGAAATATGCTCATACTTGAACCATCATGATGTAATTCTAAACGATATTTTCCACTTTTTCTAATTTCATCGCTAAAATTATTTTTTAAAAATATGTTCAAGCAATGAATATTGTGTGCACTATCAGAGATAAATTATCATAACTGATATTATGTTAATTTCACAATAGAATTTTTCAGAATAACAGTTTTCATTTATAACATTAAACATAAACAAAATGTAAAAGCATAATTCTCCATTATTATTGAGTAAAGTTTATTTTATTTTCGAAATGTAAATATTTACTAATGAAAGAGTTACAACAGAAACACAAATAGAAGATGAAAAACGATTTTAAGTAATACATGAATATGTATACTCTTCCAATTAAACTACATAAATAACAGTTACAATAGTTTACTTCTAAGGTAAGAATTTATGATTAAGAAACCATACCTGTCAAACAAATCTTTACAGTCTATCCAAGACTCATCAGTTTTGGGACTCTTCAACGTTCTTCTTGTAGCGATTGGACCACCTCTCATAGAAACTACTAATTTTAATGTACAACCTTCAGTTATTTTGGCCGT